GTGGATGGTGGTGGTGGGGAAGAAGGACGACGTGGGTGACGTTCCAGCCACAGCTGTCACACATATGACGCCACGTGTGCTGGTGTGGTATATAGTTACCTTTATCTTACTGTATAATAAGGCCTGCATGGCTCAGTTGGCTTTAGCACTACTGTTGTCCATGATGTCGAGGGTTCAATTCTCTTGAGTGCAAAACTTATTTTTATTCTAATGGTATACTGGCCTTCCATGGTCTTCCATGGAATCCATATGGACTGCTCCATGGACTCCAGTGTGGGTATGCCTGCATTCCATATGGAATCCAATGGAATCCATATGGAGTGGTGTTGGAGTCCATATGGAATTAATCATTCCATGACCATTCCATCATCATTCCATATGGAATCCATGATGTCTATGGAATAAGAAACTGGCTGGGTCCTCAGCCAACATTGATTCCATGGATTCCATATGGAATTCTTCATGGATTCCATGGATTCCATATGGAATAACCCAGGGAAGGTAAAGACCTCCTAGGTGTCACTCTCCTCAGTTTTATTGTCGAACACTGGCTCTACCTGTGCGCGCTAGACACTGCCACTACCCTTGTACCCTTGCATCCCATAGAATCTACTGATTCATCCCTTCACGCTCCCCTTACCTGCTAGCGAAACAATGCTAGTCTCCCCTCTACCATCAATTGTTCCTACCCTTGCAACTATAGGATTACCACATAATGTCCCACTGCCTTTCAGCATGAACATAGAGTATGTGGTATCCCTCAGGCTAAAACATGAAATCCGGCCCATATATGGCAAACACTATGATGTTACAGCCCGAGTGCCCAGTATCTCTGTGTAATCCAGCCATCAGTGCCTTGGTGATGGAGTTGGTAGCTTCTACCTTGCTTGCTCTAGTTAAAATTCACAATGCTATCCATCATGTTCCATGAGCCAAGCGTAAATGTGACTGTGAACCTGTTTGCCACTTCCTCGGTTTCAAGGACTTCTTGTAGAACTGAACCTTCACCTAAATTGCCTCCTTCCCTGGTCTACCCTTCCCTGTCTCCTCTTCCATCACGAAGGCCAACCAAACTACCTAACCCTAACAAACGGGTCAGAAATTGTTGAGCAGTTAAAAATTGTTGAGCGGTTAGAAATGGACCCTGTGCGGTCTATTAATGCGAAGACCATGGATGTCCCTCAACTCGCAGGTATTAATGGAGCAACAACTATGGAGAGTCCTCAAGTGACCAGAACAATCCTGTCGGATGGTAGCTTAACGCTGACCAAAAACAATTGGGATGCAGCAGGAAAGAGGATAGAAAATTATAACTTATGAGAAGGCATAAGAGGAGGATGAAATCTATAGAAAACTCAAGACTATGAACAAAACTATACGAGACTGGAAGAATGGGTGTCCCAACTGTCTAGACGATGCTCCAATCTCACAGGGGGGCTTTGTAATGGCATGATAGTATATACTTCTTGCCTGATCTAGAACCATCATATTTACATGTATTTGTCCCCACTCTGTATAGTGTCGTGTTCATAACAAATATACTCACTTTGCAACCACATCATATATTACATGTGGACAGAGTCACACCCTTTCTATATGGCTAGGCAGCCATATGCCTCCCCTCCAGGATACCAGAGTCCTGCGCCAGGTGACCATGCCCCAGTTACTGGGTCACAGGATAAACTACATGTGGTATTGCCTTGCAGCACCATGTCACGAACTCTTTCACGCATACCACAAATATTCTCCGCCACCATCTCACACTCACGCCTTTGTCAAGAAGTCCTGATCAGCCCTACAGTTTCACACTTAAGCTTGGTCAAAATTGTGGTTAAAAAGTAAGATGTCCTACTTGTATTTCACTCTACCTAAATACAAGTGGAAAACTAATGAGAAGTATCCAGATCATTCTGACTCTTACTACAAAGTTCCTTCTTGCAGCTTACAAACATTACCTTGTTCAGGAATGTTTGGTCAGACTTGTAAACCAAACAAGTGTACAACACATAACTACAAGATGTGTTTGAACATGTTCGTCAATGCTTCAAGTACATAAACCATGGAATACAACTATTTAAACTGATAGTAACACTGAATACAACTAGCAAGTAACTAGTTAGGTAATACACAGATAAATGGGATGTTTGATATCATGTAGTGATGAGCAGGGGTAACCCTGGGGTCAACTCAGGCTGACCCTGACCCTTACCCTCCAAAACCCTTGACCCTTGGCTGGGGTCAAGGGTTTTGGAGGGTAAGGGTAAGGGAATCTCAGAGGTTGGAGGGTAAGAAACTCCAGCAGGGTTTGGACAAGGGTTTGGAACAAATAACTGCTCAAGCTTTATAGATAGTAAATAAATAGCAAGATGCCTGTGAAATATACATCATTCAAGTATATTTATAACAGTACACATGGTTTTTGGTAACTTATTGATGAAATATGAGGAATTCAGTGTATTCTGAACAATACTAAGTGTTGCAAAG